CACCTGTAAACTGTCTTTTCACCTCCAAAGTCCCAAGTACTTGCATTATTGCTCATTATTGCTTGTCACCTGAGACACTTCGTGGTATTAACCTGCCTCTTGCAACTGACTGTCTGAGTAAAGAATCTTCAGGGCAGTCACGAGAATCATCACAAATCTTTGGAGGCTATCTAGATGTTCAATAAATCTCTGCAGTTCAAGACTATTTTCTTAGTCGTTCATACAGCTTTCTTGTCCCCATGGAGCCAGCTGCAGCTTGCACAGTATCACTGTGCTATTACGGACCTTTGCCAGATACCCATTCTTGTCCTCGATCATGGATTCTCCATCAAAGTACCACACACAAAAATACTTCTGCTTACCTGTTTTTATAAATAATGCTTCTAAATCCTGATTTTCTTTCCTCAAGTTCAAATCAAATTTCAAGTCCCCTTCCAACAATTTCAGGCACAAATAAACACCTTAAAGAAAATACAAAAATATCTGTGAGGACAGATACTGGAAGAACACAATGATGGCTATGCTGGGTCTGAGCACAGGTCCATCTAGCCCCATATTTTCTCTCTGATAGTGGCCAAGAACAAATAGTATCATAGAATCATAGAATGGTTTGGGTTGGAAGAGACCTCAAAGATCATCTAGTTCCAACCCCCCTGCCATGGGCAGGGAAAAAAAAAAAAAAAAAGAAAATTAAACTTTTTGATTCACTGGACTGATAATTGAATCATTTTTGCAGATAAAACCACGTAATCCATAACCCTTTACCTTTGACAATGAAAAAACAAGGAAACTTGTTGCATAAAAGTCTGAAGTGTATTTTGAATGAGCCCTATTAAGTAATGCTTGCTTCCTTACACTTTCACATGACTTTTATTTTGTGAGCCAGTGTATTGCAATTATTTTTTTCATTATCTCCATACCTTTCAATAGGGAGAAAGCACATTGATTTTCTGTGTGGGCTTGTAAATTTTCACAGCAGGTGTTCGATGCTGTTTAAAGCTTCTGGTTTTCCGATTTCTGAAGTGTGCTTATCTTAGGTTTTTGATAGATTTTCAGAAAAATAGAGTGCTGCCCTAAACTATCCTCATTGAAGTTAATGGAAGACTTCCATAAACCTCAATGAGGTTAGGTCAATGCTGCGACTTGATTTTTCAGAATCACTGAGCACCCAATTAACAGTGAAATCTGCTATAAATGGAGCTGAATGGCTGTTTAACTCTCATTCTCTCTCTGTCTTCCTCCATTAATTAAAGAATAAATCTGTATTCTACTTCTAATTATTATTAATTTTAGGCATTTAAGTTACAAGCCATAATTTGGGAGAAATCAATGTGGTTTGAAAACATCTGTTTTATCTGCTAAGGGAAATTGAAAGCTTATAGTCTTTAAGAATGAGGAAGATACATTTCATTTTCAGGTAGTAGAAAGCTTACATACTTGAATGCAAATATTGCTTCTAATCAGAGCTTGATCTGATTTGTATCTTGGGCTCTTAGCAGTTGCATGTTATGCTAAAGATATTATTGTTATTAGTTTTGGCCAACTTGTTAAAACATAATCTAATGTTTTAGATTATATTCTCATCTCACAATTCAAACATACAATAAAAACAGCAACTTTTTTGTTAGTTTGAACACATAAACATGACTTCACATAAACATGAATTCTGCCAAGAATATATGAACACACCACAGACTTTTGCTGCTTCTCCCTGGATACTGCTTGCTCCTAGTAGTACTTTTGTATATGTGTATGTATATGAGCACATAAACACATTCACATCTATTTATATTTTTCATCTATGACTCTTCTGGCAGAGTCTTCTTGAAATGTGTTTAATGTTTACTGTTGTGCTGATGCTTCAGAACGTACAAACTCACGTTTCAGCACAGAGCTGTTAAATTACGTTAATCGTGACTGCAGAAACTATGGGTAGTGAAAAGATTCAAAAGTGACTGCTAGTTCAGAATGAGTCATCAAGTCTGGATTAATACACAGCTCCAGTGTGTCAGTGCATCATTTGGACCTTCACTTCTTTTGCCATCAAGGTAAGACCCATCCATGCAGAATCTGTGACGACTCCAGCAGGACACTCCAGCTGAAAGGAGGGGGAAAAAAATCCCTACCCCAGAAATTAATGTCTCCCCTGTTGTCTCCCTCTGAGGTGTTTCTAAATACACCTGAGGAATAGGTGTCTTACCATTCCTTACACTGAGTTAACAGTCACCTACTCCTGCCCTAGTGATGCTAGATTGTACTCTGAGGACTATATCTGCTCATCTTACTTGCCTTGCAGGCCTGATAGCAGTCAGCAGCAATCCTTTATTTCTTTTGGAAATCTGTGATCAGGAATGTCTAGAACGATTATTTATATAGAGATAGATACATTTTATAAACATTACATGTGTATATAAATGTAAATCAAAGGCTTCCTTCTATTCAGCAATAGAAACAAATTTTAGAATGAGTAATAACAACCTATGTATATTTGGCCTAAATATTTACCATTGCCTGTTGGAAATCTGGGAATCCTGAATACCTTTAGACATTCAAAAGGCATTAAAAGGGGTTGCCAGCGAGTAGATTGAGGACCTAAGCAATAACAGCCTAACAACCTAACAATCTTACATGGACAATTCCTTTTCATGTAGGCAGAATTATTGCTTTTTGCAGCTCCTGGATGTGCCAGTCTAGTTTGGGCAGAAAGAATTTAGGAAGCAAAAAGACATTGTCCTCAGGGCCAATTTTTCTACCACCAAGTGCTAATGGGAAAATGCTATTTCTTATTCAAAGTAGCTGAAGCATATATGTGCTCATCTTGTAAAAATCCTGACAATTAAGTATATATAGGCAAACATAATTATCCTCCATATTGTGTGGAAAGACAGTTTTCAGTTCTTCAGATTCAGAAAGTTCAGTATTATTGACTGGCTCCTTAAATACATATCCTTTTCTGTCAGACTATCTGTTTTAAAATACTCTGCTTCTGTGAACTATGTAATCATGCTCTTTAAAAGAAACCCTCTCATAGGCCTGCACGGGCATTATCACAGAAATGTGTATATTGTTTTGGAAACAGTATAATGTAGAAAACCAGGAGGTCTCACTATCTCATAAAAAGGATAAAATAATATGTGGAAGATTTGGTGTGCCTGTATTTGATTTTTTTAGATTGTTAGTAAGTGCATTTAAAATACATCCTTTGTTTCCTTCACTTTATTGAGGTAAAAAGGATGTTCATTCAGTTAGCAAAACAGTCAAACTGGCTGAACAATTCAGGATAAGATACTTAGAAGAAACAAATTTACTGTATGAAGCAGCAGTTCATTTGATGTATTGCCAAGGTAAAGAATTAAAACCCCTCCTTGCCTTTCCTTGAAACCGCCTTGCATTTTCATTGCCCCTCTCTATTCTTGGATGCAATGAGGGCTCTTAACCTGTGCTTCAAAGCTCATTTGATTGAGCACTTTGGAGATTTTCAAATCCAAAATTAGCATAGATTTAAGTCTCAGATGAGTTATCACAGCTCCTTCACAATCACTCCCCTGGCAACATCAGTGTTAAATGGCTTTGAGTCTTTGAAGATTGCAACTAGAAGCCTGTCAGACAGATGAAATTTTCTTTGTTATTCAAAGATATGTCTTTGTTTCACTGAAAACAAAAAATACAATTCACATATTTGCAATTGCACATTTCCTCCATGATTCTTTTATTGTGAGTTTGAAATCTGTTAGAATAGAAACTGCCCAGTGATAACTGGACTTCACATTTTTAAATTAACATCTTCGTACGATACAGAATTTCATTTAAAAGTGTTAAAAATGAGTCATATTTCCTGTAGATAAATTCTAAAACATTGAAATTGAAAGCTTTAATGCAAATTTATAGTAAGTGGTAGGAAAAATTTAATTGCTCTGTATGTGAGCAAAAACTCTCTCAGCAATTAAAAAAAGTTTTGAGATAGATGCTTTTCTAAGAAATATCCAGGATGTTTTCAGGAGCTGTAGAGACCAGACACATGCCTCTGTGATACCATGACACAATCTGTCATTTTAGTTTCCTTGAGAGGCTCATTGCTGTCAATAGCCAGGAACTGACAGGAGCCCCATAGCCTGAGCCTCCTGGGATAGTCCCCAGCTTTTTGTGCACACTGGATGCCACATGTTTATAAGTCACAAAGTTTGTCTCTGTTTATCCTTTGGTCCACCTTCACTTCCAGGCACAAACCTATCTTTCCATTAAGGAAGGAATAGCCTGAACATTACTGCAAAATAGCAAAATCATAAAATTGCAGTAAGTCCCACCTCTCTGATACCTACTCAATCTCACCTGTTCTATGTCATATATTTTGTCCGTGTTTCAACCTGGGCAAAGCTCCTCCTGCCGGCATCACTCCAGATAATCTATTATTTTTATTTTCCCTGTGAATCAAGAAGGAGGAACCCAGTCACCAGTCCCTGTCCAAATGCTTCCCCTAGCACTGCTCTCCGCTTGGATTGTTCATTAACTTACTGAAAGCTCAGTGCTTAACATCTGCTGAGGCTGTATTCTCACTTGCACTTATCTCCCATGGATTTCTGGTAGTAGAGGTTCAGTTCTCTTTTAAAGGAGGTACACTCCCTACAGAAGTTTGTTGTTAGTATCAATTAAGCTATCGGTTTTATTTACTAAGTCTTATACCTCTCTTGGGAAAAAGCACTACATTTACTCATATGCCAACAGGACACTAACTGTTTGTACAAAACCTTTAAAAAATGAATCTAGGACTTTTAATCTCAACAAATGTTCATAAAAATGTGAGCAAATGTTCCCTTTGTATTGCAGTAAAATGGAAGATCAGAGACTTTTTAGCTAAAAGAAATAAAAATAACTGTAGCTTTCCACCAGTATTCATGTAGAAAACGTAGATCAAACTAGGAAATGGTTCATTTTCCTTAAAAATTTTGTGCTGCACAGATGCCCATTTTACAATCTAGTTTGCTAAATGGATCCTGTTGACAACACTGGTAATTTATTGATCTTATTCACTGTGAACTTTCATGCATCATTAATGAGATGAATATACTAAGTGAAAAGTGCTGAAACACGTTTTCTAGCCCACCTCTCTTTAGACAAGGATGGGGAGAGGACTACTAACACTGAGACTTAATCATAAACATCATGCATATGAATTGAAGCAAATGCCTTCCAGTTGAAGATATGAGACATTCACACTTTTGAAGAATGAGGGCCTCTGTACACTTACTTGAAATACGACATTCGTAAAATAGTTGAAAGCTTGAAATAAAACTGCAGAAATGTTTAAGCAAGCTTCTTATCAACTTTTTTTTTTTTTTAAATACCTGAACAGGCTTGTATCCTATGCTTGTTATCCATCATTTTGGAATGATCACCTGATGTCATCAGGTGAAAATCACTGTTATGTGTCAAGTGAATATGGAAAAAACTTTACAAACGGGCCTTGTCCCAATGCTTTAGAAGAATCCAATCGGTTATACCGGTGTGCCTCTCACTACAGAGTATCCTCAAATGTAAGTTCATGCTGTTCACTCATTGTCTCACCCATTTTTCTCCTTTGGGGTTTGAAAATTATCTGGTATATGGAAATATGTTCACTTCAATCAAAGACTAAAGCTGTGAATTTTTCTTCATATTGCCCTTGTATTTTCAGAAGAGTTTGAATTCTTTATAGTTTCTCAGTTTTACATCATCTCTTTCAAGCTACTGCTTTGTGGTTCTATAGAAATTAGAGATAGAAAAGGAAGTATGCAGTCATAACTGTACAGTAGTGCTTCTTAAACATGTTTCTGAAGGTTTAGTTAATTTGCTAAACCAAATATTCTCTAGCAGAAACACAAGTACAACGGTACATTTATACCATATATATATGTACACAAGGATAAATTAGTCTGAGTTTCAATTTTATTTAATAGAATGTATTCTCTTCTTTGCCCTCTCTGCTGTTGCTCTCACCTCCCCTCAGGAAACTGATATAATGGAAGAAATCATGGACAAAGGACCAGTGCAAGGTATGGTAAGTTTGGAAGATGAAAACATGATTATTGAAATAATGTAAGTGTGCAATGTCCTTGTATTATATTAGAAAACACAAATTACATTCCACAGTGAATAAAACAGATGTATGCACTGCAGTTCATCCAGGGACATTTGGTGGGTGAGTAGTGCCCCTAAAGGCAGCTATACTACATCAGAGTCCATAATGAGTAAAACAACCTTGAGCTGGATTTTTTTAAAATTTGCAAAAAAACTGTATGTGCTGGAAATGTGCCTCTCCCCCACGATAGTTCTTCGCTCATTAATGAAATTGCAATTTGAGGCTCTGCAGGAGGAGTTAAGTGTTAGCATAGCTCTGCTCTCCACATCAGGGATCAATTCCCCAACTGGCTGAGGCCAACCCACCAAGCCTGCTTGCCTCTGAAGGCAACGTGGCACTATATGGGCCCTCCAGCAAATCATTCAGTGCTGGAATACTCCCAGAATTTCCCTTTTCAGAGCCCAAATGCTCTTGTTGGTTGTAGAGGGCTAT